AAAAAAAAGCGTATATTCTTCTTGTTCAACCATCGGATTAATTCTATTGCATCGTCAATAATCTCATTGAGATAGTTTTCTCCATAAAATGGTATATGATTGTGATTCTTAATCTAGGAAAGAGCGTGTCAAATTTTTAGCATTGAAAATCATGGTCAATGATTTACTATATTTAATACCATGCTTCAGTGGGTAGAGACTTACTAAGAAGTTCTATTCTGTCAGCATCTTAAGGAGTGAAATCTAGTCTTCAGTGGGTAGAGACTTATTAAGAAGTTCTAGTCCATTAGGATCTTAAGGGGTGAAATCTAGTCTTAAGTGACTAGATGCATTATCTGGTAATCCTAACTAAGCATTTTATATATTAACATATAAACCAATTGTTGACAAGCTTTAATCATGTTCGAGTGATGACAAGCTTTAATCATTGCTTTCATTATCCTATCTCTTAATGTATTCCACTCATCAATTTCAATTCTCAATTCCTGACACTTATTTTCAAACATGTCATTAGTGATATGGCTTTGCAAAGCAAATTTTAAGCAGGCCCATGAAAAATAAAACACCGAAAAACTTTGAACATCCATTTCGTTATTAATTAAAGGCCCACTTTACATCCATACATATTTTTGATTGAGTGATATAGATAGCCATGCAATGTGATAGTATGAAAAACTTATCAACTGTACCAAGTAGTCTGACTTCAAAATAATCCAAGCTTCATAATGATTTTAGCCATTCTTATGACAATGGGTGGACTATGGAGCATAAGGCTCGAACATGAAGAGTGAAAGAGACAAAAACAATTGTAAACTTGACATCAATCATCTTGACTGAGGCCAATTTTCTGAGTAAGGAAATATGAGTAGTACAGAAGTTCAGCATAAATCATAGAAAAGATAATTGACATGCAAAAAACCTACTTTATTTGGTCAAGAATCAAGCAGGCCCCCAATTCTTCTAGAAGTAAAAGAGTTTAGAAAGGGGAAAAAATGACAGTATTAACATAAGAAATAGCATATAATCTGAAGCAAAAGATACAGCAAAAGAGCAAAATAGATCACGTCAATTCCATAACATAGCAACAAAAAAATAACCCAAGAGAAAGGTGCTAATTTAATATTACAATCAGTTCCCCTCCTTAAAAGTTAATATATTTGGATAAGACAGTCAGTACTTACTGCCTCTGTGCAACTGAATAAAAGGCTAAGTAATGTTTTCCACTGTAGGAAGGCTTCAAGTGATTGTCCCATCTGCATACTTTGAAATCTTATTAAGATGGAATCATGTCAATCAACTTAAAAATACAATCGGTGGATAATTACCATGAAGGCAATGAAGGAAAATTGCAGTTCCCCCAGAAGAAGATCTTCATCACCTCGAAAGTCTTTCATCAGAATGGCTTCCAGTAATTTTGTCTAGACACAAGTGCAATAAACATAATTAATAAAAACTTCATATCTTTTGCATCGTAAGTTGGCTGATAATTAATAAATATAATCAAATGATTGACTTGAACTGAGATTTACAAAGTACTAGGTAACTTGTTTTACAATTAACACAAGAAGGTGTCTAACCAGGGAAGGTCGTAAATTACTTTAATTGTCTGTATAGGACCTATAGGTTGATCTGCAAACAAGGACATAAAGAAGAGAAAACTGTATGAACTAAATCGCTGAATGGATAGATTTTAACTTCAAAATAGAATAGTTGGCAACCACAACTACATCTATGAATAAGCTACGGCTAAAGTTTTTAACACATACATAAATAATTAACTAGTGATGACAAGATGAAATTACCATATCACAATGGTCATGGCTGGAAAAAGCTGCAGAAAACAATTTAGGGCTAGTTTGGCAAATCTCTCCAAACTGGGCCAGCCTGCTTTTATGTTTTTAACCAGACCAGAATTGAACTAGGTAGGGGTTGGTTCAATTCTAGCCTGGTTAAAAGCCTCCAAAATGAACTAAAACAGTTGGGCTAGCTCCGGCCCAACTTTTCCTAGTCACAAAAAGATACTAAAACTGGACCAGGTTTGAACCTGGACCAGTTTTAGTAGTTTGCCAAAAAAGGCCTTACTGTGCTTACAAACTTAAAAAGTCACTTGCAAGTTCTTCAACAGAAGAAACTGCTAATGCCTAAGCCTTGAAAAAGAGGTATATCAGTCTTCAAGCTGATTATGTCACAAAACAATTCCTCAAGATGTCCTTTCAACTTGAGTCCTTTACCGAAGGAATTATTGAAGAATTATGCGATTAATGGCAAACCATACAGAAATATGAGATGTAACTATATAAAATAGTCAAGAAAGAAGACAGATTAAGCACAGATATTCCCTGTCCTATGAACATTATTTTCCCACATCCAGTTTACACAGATATGCTCCTAAGGTCCTGCTCTTATAGTACTTCTTCACGTGCATTTTTATTAAAAAAGAATAATAAGTTGTTAATCCTTCACCCAAAAAATAATAATATTGACATTTGAACTATTTTAAATGTGATACGATATAAAATTCTAATAGTTAGATGCACGATTTGCCTGTATTAAATAGACAAGGACATGGTCCTTGATTCCATCTTACTATCCTTATAATACTCCAAATTCATTGCAATTATGTCATGATAAGAATCAACAAGTTTAGAATTCACTCATTGGGAACAGTTTAATCAGTTATAAGAAGCTACGATGAATTCATTGGCAAAGATTATCTTTCTTTTTTTTATTTTTTCAAGAAGGTTGTTTTAAGGACCTTTTTTGTTTTAGGTGCCGCTTTCTGAGACTTTTTGGTGGTTTTTTGGTAGTGTAATTTCACAAATTTGGTTTTGGGGTCTGAACCTCTTTTGCAACTTGCTACTGGTTTGTAACACTTTGCAAAGTAGGTACGTTCCTTTTCAAGTAATTGTCATGGGAATTACCTTAACTCATACCCTCTATCTCCCAAGAAAAAGGCCAATTTCAAATCTTAATTTCTATATATCCACTGCCATTTTCCTTGATCTTAGAGAGTCGTAACAGAACAGCATCACACCAAAAGGAAGATTATTTCCTAATAAAAGTTAATTTAATAATAAGAAACTCTATGAAAAATGGAAAGCGAAGAAGTCCCCAGTAGATTAAATTGCATTACAGAAACCTGATGGCGCATATTACCAGTTAAACTCCATCTTTTACCAGATAAATATAATTAATTCAGTGCAACATGCAATTAGATGTTAAGACTAAAGATTAGATAAGTGAAAGGGACATACTTTGTCAAGGTTCAAAGAGGTAAGTTCTTCACTGGAAATGTCTTTATGCTTAACAACATGGGGAATATCTGTGTAATAGCATCCTTGCTTTTGAGATTTTTCAGCAGTAGATGTTGCAAATTTACTATCTCTTAGCTGCTCTACCAGCCTCTTCTCCATAGATGTTCTCGGAGTTTTGTCGATGAGTCCAGATTCATAAACTGTTGAAATCTCCCCTCCAATTGGTTCTACATAAGAAGTGAAACTGACAAGATGAACATATGGAGTATACTAAAAGAACCATGGCGCTCTGGTAGTCATAATAAAATCAGCTCTTTTAGCCGGGAACATAATGGCATGCTTTCATACACAAGGCCACATGGGAAAAACTTAAACACAAAAAACAAAGGAGACATGCTTTAATAACCAAAGTACTGGCAAAACGTACTAGGAGAAGCTTCAAAGAAACCATTAAAAAAAAGAATTGAGCTCACTGAATATCCAGAAAAATATGTCCTGTCCAAATAGGGTTCATTTAAAAGGGTGAGGCTATCATTTTTATATGTAATAACACTTCAGTTTAGGGCCAAACAAATTCTTTTAACATTTTGTCTCCAAGTTAAATACGAAAAAATAAGTACATATGGGTCAATTACTCAGTGCATCATGCTCATGGCTAAAACTATAGGAGTGCTACCTTAATCTCTGCCTTTTTTGTGTTTGCTTTTTTTTTTTGATGGGGGGGGGGGGGGGGGGGG